GCAAGGAGATGCAAGACCCTGACAGCATTGACGATATGTGCGCCTCTGTGTGTGTGTGTGTATGCGTTGACACGGACTACGTGATTTCGGAAAGCAAGTGTCCTTCCGCACCACCGTGTCAAGAATGACCTCGACACCATTCCTCAACGTAGCTGTTTTCTTTGCAGGTATCGCCTGTGGTTGACATCGATGCCCTCGCCCACTTTCCCAGTTCCTGTGCTACAGGGCGGCCGGGGGCCTGCGAGGTTCAGCGGTACTGTGCATCGTGCAATCGTTCCACGCTCTCCAGAGCATGTATCAATGTGTACCATAATACATCGGTGATTGGTGCTTTGCGCACACAGAGTCTTAGTCGGCCCCTTCCTTGCCAAGGCATCAAGATCACCAACGAGCCTCCCAAGGGTTTGAGGGCCAACCTGACGCGCAGTTTCCAGGAGCTCTGAAGTATCCGTAGTGGCCAAATTATCGTGGGCAATTGCCACCCCATACACACCAGGAGTGTTTCAAGCACCTTGCCGAAAGTCTTTTCCCTGCGCCCCTACAAACCCAACCCACACAGGACATCACGCCCGAGATCTACGAGGGCTGTACCAAACCCCGCGAGCCTTTCTGCAGCCCTGGAAAGTGGGGAGGATTCCTGAGAGGAGGTTTGATAGGTTTGGAAACGTTAACGTCCTGCACGAGGGCAAACAGCACGGCCCACGCCAGACTTTCAAGTTCTCGGCGCAGCGTCATCCCACAGAAGCACGTTTATACCTTGGCACTGATAGTTTGAAGCCAAGGTTCAAGAAGCTCTTGCCAGATGCCCAGACTGCACATGGTGGGTTGCAATCAATTGCGTTGCCGTTCTTCTTCAGCTGCACTTGCTGGCTGCTGTCTCCTTGCCCGTTTGGTGCTTGTCTCGTTTGTTTGGGCTCGTACTTCAGACATGCAAGAGTGCATATGCTTGTTTCGTTCAACTCACAGACATGGGCCAAGTCAAGCACCCTTTTCTGCCTTCATGTTTTTGTGGCCAGATGCCTACTTAAAGCCCTACGAAGCATCCAAAGCAAACGAGCCAACCTTACACACGCTAAACCCGTGGCCAGCAATCCATACGACATAGGCTGGAGCCATAGCACATCCGAAAGGCCCGTGACGGTCCTTAAATCAGACCGTGGCAACCACGTCCACGAGCGAATTCGCGCGATGCGGTGCTTGGAGCTCGAGGAAGCGGTCAACCCCAAGGCGCCGGCAACTGATGGAAGGGGATTTCCAAAAAGGTTTCGACTTAGAAGTTGAGGTTCATTGAACCCATGAGTTTTGTGCGTTTCCACACAAGAAGCAAACAATGTTGCAGATTTCGGGCTGCGATCGCACAGTGACTCCATGACTCCAAGGCACTCTGCACCCTCTTTTCACATACAAATGGGTTTGTGTTTTTTTGGGGGGCTCAGGTTTAAGAATGGCACACGGGTTGCACACCCGCGAAACATATCCCGCAACATACCCCGAAACATACCCCCGACACATACCCCGTAACATACCCCCGAAATTGCAGGTAAAGTAGCTCCTGATGCCGCGAAACATACCCGAAACATACCCGCGAAACATACCCCGACCCCAACACGTGTCACGCGCCCCCCCATTAAAATACAAACCCAAATGAGCTCAGTAGTCGTGGCAGTCATGGCCCGCCAGGAGCGGCCCCTGCAAGATGAAGAGGCACCACCTGAGGCGGCGCAGGGGAAGCAGGGAAAGGCAGGGAAAGGCCTTACTTGCACGGTCTGCTCAGGTCTGGACCGGTGCCCTTGTAAATTCGTTGCTGTAACATGTTGAGGAGCGTTTGCCAGTCCAGGCGAGGTGTCCTGCAGAAAAGGACCGAGGCCTTCCCAGCTGATGAAGAGCTTAGAGGGCGGGTTGGAGTAGTTTTGGAAACTTGATGTGTCTTCTGCACAAGGTTTGCATTGTGGAGTAGTGACCATCTGAGTGACTTGAGCATCACGGATAGGCAAGTAGTCTCTTTCGAGCACTGTGCCATTTTTCTAGGCTTGCATGATGCGTTCGGTAGGTGTTATTTCCAAGTGAGAAGCTCGTAGCACTGCGTAGCGCAGCTGGGCTGATGATGAACTGAAGATTGGCACTCGGTGGGAAGACCACTGGATAGAGACGCGTTATGATCTTCACTGCTTGTTGGGTAGGTTGCAAGTGCTGCAACAGGTCCTGCTTTGACTTGGTGGTTCCGTGCATGCTGCTTCTGCTACAGTACCCTGTCTGCAAGGCACACGCGCGCACGCACGCGCACGCACGCACGCACGCACGCACGCACGCACGCACGCACGCACGCACGCACGCACACACACACACACACACACACACACACACACTCCCCCACGCATGCACGCACGCGTTGCTTTGCACACAGACCTTCAGCTCTCACCGAGACAACAATCAGAGAAAGTCATGGCACAGCAGAGACCAACAACTAGAAAACACATGAAAACACCACAAATATCTTCCGATCAAAGTGTTCAGCTCAGGCGCCGTTGGTATCGACATGGCCTGGCCAGCCTGGCGGGTGAAGGGATGAAGCTCCCTCTGCCGGAGTTTCACACCTCTTTGACTTCATGGCATGCATCATTGAATCTCATTGAACCGGCCACATCTGATTGAACGTCCACTCGGACACGGGAGCTTGCTCGATCTTGCTGCCAGGCGCCTCGGTTATGTTGCTTGCCACTGTGCCTCCTATCCTTGGCAGCTGGAGGCACAAAAATACAAAAACCGAAGAAGGTTGACTAGACAAGGAAGAGTTGCCTCGCGACATGATTCATGGCTCCGTGGGGTGAGGAGGTGCATGCAATGGGATGCAGTTTCCTGCGGCCCCTGCATAGACATGGGTAAATCATGAAGACCACGGAAAGGCTCGAGATGATTCGAATTGTGTTTGGATATTGCCGCCTGAGTTCGAATGGCTGACGTGACGCAACAGCCACAGAGGCATGCCTCCTGCTTCTTCAGGGATGCAGGGGCCCAAGTGCAACAGCTTGGTTCCATGGTTGACCACCACCTGGCCTCAGCTCCAAGCTTGTGGCAGAATACTTGCGCATGTATGGAATGCAATGTGAGATGCCGCATGAGCCCACACGCGCTGTCTCCCCGTATCTTCCCTCGTGTCACGGTGGTGAAGAGTAGACTGGCAACGTCAGTCTATTGGCTTCTGCTGATTTGGTCGGCTCATGTCGACTTGGCTCCGAGGTCTGTCCTTTATGCACGACGCCTACTTCGCAGGGCGTTCGCCTGCAGCGAAGCTTGCAGATAGGCTGGCCTGCCATGCAAGCATCGTGTACTCAGCATGCAGGCATCATCAGGCATGACATCGCAATTCAGCATTACAACTCCCAGATGATGATGATGATGATGATGATGATGATGATGGTGTTGATGGTGTTGATGGTGACAGTTTCCAACTTCATTCTTATTTATTGCAAGAAGCAGCTTGTCTCCATGCAAAATGGAACCCCAGAAGCCATATCGAGATGGGTGTTGAAGTTGCTAATGTTTTCAATCGACAAAGCTGCCATACGTCCCGTCTGGACTGCAGTGCTGCAGTCACTCTGTTTGTTGCTGTTCAGAAGGGGTCGCACTACATGCTTTGTGTTGGACTTGAGGGTTTCCAATGCCTCCTTTTACCGATTTGGGTAGCTCTATAGAGCTACTACTGGTACAGAGGGATTTGGAGGTGCGCGTCACTCAAGCTTGAGTGTTCCAACGCAGGTTGTGTTTGGATTTGAGGGTTGCGGGGCGATTGAGCTTGGAGTTATTGAGACACTTGGTTTTCAGCATCTACATGGCGCTTTGGCATCTGAAATATGTAGTTACAAGGCCAAAAATCACCGGATGCCTCCTGTTGGCATACCACCGGACACTCTTAAGGATGGACGGTCAAGGTTGTCACACTGTGGTGCTGACCTCGAAAACCAAGCTCTGTGCAGGTGCTGCGCTACCTTTCTCACCATGTGCCAGCCACTGAAGCCGGGTTCCAAGTCGAGAGGGCGCACCAAGTGCAGCCACTAAACTCTGTGGAGGTTCATTGAGCAAGCATAGACTTAAGTAATCACCGAATTTCGGACTCCTGCTGATCACCCTTTTGTTCGAAGAATGGCCATGCGCCGAAGTACTACAGAACTGATTCCCACGAGGCTGGCATTTTGCAGCATGGATGCGGTGCAGCTCGCCCTTTTGTGCTGCTCGTGGACGCTGGGGGCTGATGTGCCTGTCCTGAACCAACATGTGTATGTTTGCACTGAGAGCAGGGAAGACAAGCCCAAGATCCCTGGTTGCACGGTCGTCCGCCAGCTCGAAGACTCATGGGATCAGCCGTCTTGCAGCATGAGCGGTCTGGTCACCACGCCCTTTTTGTCCGGCCAACTTGGTTTTGATCGTCTTTGGATGTCTACTAGCCACCGCCTCGAGGTTGGGCCTCCTGTGCTTCAAAGCGGGCGCTCGTGCCTTCGTGGCAGGTACACGGCCCAGCCTCATGGTCGTGAAGCATGCCTGGGCATTTGCTCACCCAATACTCGACACCGTCATGTGCTGTGACAACCAGTGGTCAGGCAATGGCCGCAGATACCAGTTTTTTCACACGCCCGTGCCTGAGCAAGAGCGTCTCGTCAGCTGATTGGCGCACTTCTCCCTGCCTAACATCCTCGTACACCTTTTGTAAACAAAAAATGACCGAAAAAGCATTCAATAACCCGAAAACCCTGAAACTCGTGTCAGAAGTTGTGCACGCCGAGGCTGTGGCATATCCTTCTTCCCTTGGGAGGCTACTTGCCGCTTGGCATCGACATTGCCTGGAAACTTTGTGTCCAGAATCAGCTGACAGGGATTGTCCGCAGTTGCTGCGATTGCGCGGCAGAGCAAGTCCGTAGGCGCGGAAGAAGCAAGGAAGCAAGGAGCAGCTTCTCCACATTGCTAGAGTTTGACACCCTAAACTCTAAATCCGAAACCCTAAACTGACCCGTGAGTCGCCCTTCAGACAAGGCCCTTCATACTGTTTACCAAGGTGGATCGAGTACACTCGGCTATCCGTCCTCCTTTTGCACGCTAGCCCTGGGCTGAAAGTCTGGCCATGCACTTGAAAGGTTTGCACCAGAACTCAATCTAGCAATGGCTAGCGGTTATCAGGGCAAGTACTGGGGAAGTCGGGAAGACGGGTATCGCGCGAACAACTATGAACATGTGCTGTCTGTCCCCGCGCAGCTGCAAGCTGCAACCATGTGTTGCGTGACTGGTGTGCCGCAAGCATGTGAATTGTCTTTGCCCATCGCTCGTGCATGCTATTGCATGCTTTTTGGTCTGGCATTTCTCATCGCTGTTTCACGGCGCTGCGAAGGTTCCCATCAACATCCGCTGCTGAGCTCCGAAGCCATTTGGGTCACGGCCCCACCGCTTTCGGTCCAAATACTCTGATTGAAACTGGAACGTTTCAACATATTTCGAAACATGACAGGAGAGAAGCAGTCTTAACCAAGTTGGAATCTTAATCACGGGTGGAGACCCTTCTCCACGGTTCAAACGTTTTGATCCAGCGCTGCCTCGGCAGAGACTCCCTCAAGGGCTGAAACGCTGTGCAAGCATGGTACCATCAAGTAATTGTAAACGCTTGCGCGCGCCGCCTCGGCAGCCGGGCCGGCCCAGAGCATGCAGTATGTGGATGACGGCACTGGGGGGGGGAGGGGCGGGAGGGCGGTGGGGGGGCTGGGGGGGGAGGGCGGTGGGGGGGCTGGGGGGGGAGCTTGGGGGGGGAGTGGGGGGGGGGGGGGGGTTGGAAACGAGGCGAAATGTGGGGACCTCTCCGTGATTGGAATGGTTTGAAAAGATGATTTTAGGTACTTTATGTATCCTGATCAGTGTGCCCCCCCCCCCCCCCCCCCCCCCCCCCCCCCCCCCGAATTGTGAAAAAAACCCAAAAAACACTCAGGGGGGTCTATTTGAGGAGGTCCCCCGGAATTGTGAAAAAATTCGGAAATCGCTTCTGAACTGAGCCTGACAGACAGTCTGAAACCCTGAGGCCTGAGGTTGTCGGGCCCTGAAATCTTAAGTCTCCAGGCCAGCCCCAAAGCTAAGATTTCCTTGTAAGATGATTTTGTACCGAGGCCAGGCAATCAAATTTCAAAGGGGGTAGTCAAGCAGCTGCCCGAATGCCGTATAATATAAAACGTTTGGTCCCCCGGAATTATATTTGTTTTCTTTTTGCGGGCTGGCTTGGTTGATAGGTGGATCCCCTTTGAATTCATATGAACTCATTCCTTTAAAATCATGTGGATCCCTTTTACCATCATATGAATCCTTTTTAAATTCATACAAACTCATGCCTCTTAACATCGGATTGAGGGCGCAGAGGGGGTTCGATTCCGCGCAGCAGACACTCAGACACTCAGACAGTCAGACAGTCAGATGATCAGACAATCAGACAGGCAGACAGTCAGACAGTCAGACAGTCAGCCATTTTCTCTTGGAGGAGACTTGGGTGCTCACGGGTCTCGTACCCAAGTACAGTAGAAAAGTGAATTTCCGCTGAAGTTGGGCAGTCATAGTGGCAATAGTCTGAGTACTAACGGGTCTCCCACCCAACTCCAGTATCTGACTGTCTGCCTGCCTGCTGTCTGTGACACCCAGCAAACTGAGAAGTGTCTGACTGTCTGACTGAATGCTTTTCAGTTTGTTGGGTGTTGCAGACGGCAGACAGTCAGACAGTCAGATGCTGGAGTTGGGTGGGAGACCCGTTAGTACTCAGACTATTGCCACTATGACTGCCCAACTTCAGCGGAAATTCACTTTTCTACTGTACTTGGGTACGAGTCCCGTGAGCACCCAAGTCTCCTCCACGAGAAAATGGCTGACTGTCTGACTGTCTGACTGTCTGACGGTCTGACTGTCTGACTGTCTGACTGTCTGACTGTCTGACTGTCTGACTGTCTGACTGTCTGACTGTCTGCCGTCTGGCTGTCTGGCTGTCTGATTGTCTGATCATCTGACTGTCTGACTGTCTGAGTGTCTGAGTGTCTGAGTGTCTGAGTGTCTGCTTTTCAGTTTGCCCCATGTGCACGCTCTCTCTAAAATCGTATGGATCCCTTTGAAATTTCATACAGTCTCACCCCTTCTAAAATCACATGGATCCCTTTTAAATTCATACAATAAATTCATACAAGCTCATCCCGTTTTAAGAGCATATGGATGCTATTAAAATTCATGTAAGCTCATCCCTTTTGAAACCATATGGATCCTGTTTAAATTCATATAAGTCATCGCATTTAGAATCATATGGATCCCATTTTAAATTCATGTAAGCTCATCCCGTTTAAGATCATATGGACCCCTTTGAAATTCACATAAACTCATCCCTTTTAAAATCATGTAAAGCCAGAACCCCCCCCCCCCCACTAAAGAGCGGGGTCCATGTGTTGAGGGGAGAGGGGGGGGGGGGGGTGGGGCAAGGCACACTAATCAGCAGACAACATTATTGCTCAGGCTCAGAGGACGGTTAAACTGTCAAACGCTTTGAAGCGGCTTCAGCCGTAACCGTTTGCATGCTGCCATTTAGACGACGGAGCTCAGCCGAAGATCGGTTCAACCTCTCTGACGGTCTAAATGGTCAATCGGAGTGGGGGGAGTGAGAGTTGGGAGGCTTTGGGAGGCTTGGAGGTAATTTTTGGGACTGTGAAGTGGTTGCCAGTGCCAGGTCCAGGGGTTGGGGATGCATACACTCATATGATCTCATATGTATTTCCAGTTCTGAATGTTCGTCAATCACGCCGAGCTGCAGCGAACCCTGTGTTCGAGCAGTCGTTGAAGCGCGGCTTGGTCCAACATAGGAGTGCAAACAACCACATCCCCCTGTCCAACCCTGCCTCAGCCACATTTGGTGACGGTTTAGAGGTTGAGAGACATAGTTGCCGTTGATCATTTTCCCTGCACTCTTAGTATTGCCGACTTCAAGTGAAGCACAACAGCAGCCTCAATCCATTGGAAGAGGGCCCTGCCCTACATCGTGAGGCAGCGAAACACAGCACGCACGGCGAGGATGTTGGCACTCTTCTCCTTTGGGGCCCAGGCCGGAGTGGCTCCAGGAGATGGAAACTGGGACTCCAAATTGCACGAAGTCTTTCAAACTCCAACCTCAGCTCTCCAACTGCCTATTTTTTCGTCGGAGGTTCTCATAGTATGAATGCCAGGCGCAGCCGGCCCGGATTGCCTGCAGCGTTCCTATGCCCGGCTGTGGTCCCTTCGGTAGCTTTGGCCATTGGCCAGGCGTCGCCACACAAGAGCATTTTCACCCTACTTTGGTCACACTCTAAAATTCTCTGGGGAATTGGACGAGTGCAGCCCACATACTTGTCAGCGCTCAGGGAATAAGTGCTTGCGTTCGAAAGAAGAGGCTCTTGTGATGCCGGGAAACTCTCCGAAGAGAGTCGTTTCACAGACAGTGCAGTAAGCCTCTTTTCTATGAACTCCATCGCGAATCCTCGCAAGCTGCGCTGCCCGAAGCAGGGCCGAAGCGCCCAAAGTCGGTTTTGCAATGGCGAGCAGGACCACAAGGGTTCTTCAAGGGTTGCTCATGCTAGACTTGAAGCCCGCGATCTCTTAACAGTTCTTAAGTCGGTCTTTGCGGATATGAGGTGCAAAGGTTCAGAAGCGACCGGTTCGGAAGTTGCCTGTAAGTCAGGATGAAGGACAGGCAGCACAACTTCGAAGCTCCTTCCCGGATCTTCCCGGTACCATTCTGTTCCATTCTTTCGGTGTGTTCATGCTTTCTACTCCAGCGCAAAGCTCGCTCTCTCTCACATCAGGCACTCCTACCCACCCTCGGCTGGGACACACACCAAAGGAATTCAGTGGGCGTGGTGTGAACATGGCATTGTCCTTCCCATATCTCTTCATGAGCACGGACGTTGTTGTGGTGTCGCTGGGGCCGAGGGCGCCAACATCTTACATCATGCAGGGGGAACCGACCACCGCAGAAAGGGTAGAGATGCGGAGCGGTGCGGCATCTTGATGCACTTGCCGCCAAGAATTTACAAGGTGTATGGAGATGAGTTAAGACTCGATAAGCCGATGAGACTCACCCAAGTCCTGCTGCCAGAGTTAATCCCAGAAGAGCGCGCCGCGCCATGGCCGAAGTTGCCGCCAAGAATTTACAAGGTGTATGGAGATGAGTTAAGACTCGATAAGCCGATGAGACTCACCCAAGTCCTGCTGCCAGAGTTAATCCCAGAAGAGCGCGCCGCGCCATGGCCGAAGTGCAAGAAGCTAGACCCCTTTTGCACTTCGCACGCAGATCCCATAAAAAGTGAGCGCTAGCCCACCTGTGTGCCTGTCGGGTCAACGCGCTGCACCGTCTTTCTCTCTGTGCCAGAACTGACATTGACAAAGTGAACGCGTTGCGTACATGTGCGCACAAAAGTGGCAGTCTCAAGGTACTCACTCGCCTTCTTCCATGCAGCCATCCTTGAGCGGCGAAAGTTCGGACCCATCGGCACGCAATCTCAGAGGGATGAGACGTGTTGGCTGCATGTTGGCTGCATGTGGGTGCCCGAGCTACAGTATGCCGAGTTCTTTTCAGCATGCGTAAGAGGGACGCGCCCCGTGTTGGGCGGATAGTCCGTCCAGCATTAGCTATCAGGGTATCCATAGGGTCTTATAGAGGCTCGGTGCAACGACCCCAAGTGTCTGTAGATCCGCGGTAGACTCTGTTACCGGCGCAGCTGGGTAGTACGCCGCTTGCTGAGCCTACGCTTCTGGAGGTTGGAACGTCCCCTATGAGTGGATGGATAGTGACTTCCAGGCTCATGATTTGATATGCAGAGGTGATTGTGACTACTTGTGCCGGAAGAGAAGCCAAGGCTTAGACAGCGGTCAGATTACAACGCCTGCAACAGTGATAAGAAGCCAGCCTTGGTTTCATGTTCAACGCTGCGTGGTAACTTGCCCCTCGGCGCAGGTGTCTCGCGAGCAGGCTTCGAAACGTCGAAGTCACCAAAGTGTAGCCTAGCCCAGGAAACTTTTCCAGGCTTTCGACTTGATGGGTATGTCGGTGGTGATCTTGTGAAGAGTAGGCCTTGCAGCGCTGCTATCTTTAGACAGTGAGGCACAAGTTGTATACGTATATATATATATACATATATATATATATATATATTTAATGGCTACCGCCAGTGCCGCCGACCCCAGACCCAAGACAGTCGCATCAGGGTGGAGCGCGGGCAGGCGGGGGGGGCGGGGGCGGGGGGGGTGGGGGTGGGTGGGGGTGGAAAGGGGGGCGGCGGGGGTGGGGGGTGTGGGGGGTGACGGCAGAGGGTTGGTGTCGGATTGGGGAGTTGGGGGCGGAAGGCAGGGGTGGACTGGGGAGCATAGAGATGAAGAAGCGATGAGAGCGGTGAGAGCGGGGGGGCGGTCGGATGGTGCACGATGGTGGGAGGGGGTTGATGAGGGCTGGGGAGGGTTGGTGGGAGGGTTAGGGAGTGGGAGTGGGAGAGGGTGGGGGCGGCTGGCGGAAAGGGGGGCCTGACTCATTTGACCAGCTCTGGTGAGAGGGTTGGGGCGGAAGGCAGGGTGGAGCGACGGTCGAGGGTTGGTGGAGTTGGGGGCGGAAGGCAGGGGAGTGATGAGAGCGGGGAGGCGGTTAGGGCGGGCGTGGATTGGAATCCCTCAAACTAGAGATTTGTCAGGGGCGGAGTAGGGGGTAGGGGCCTAGGAGGGAAGGGATGGGGGGGGGGGGGGGGGTTTCAGAGTCGAGGCGGCGGGTGGGGGCATAGGAGGGGGAGTGATGAAGCGGTGAGAGCGGTCAGGGCGGGCATGGACTGGAATCCTTAAACACTAGAGATTGGTCAGGGGCGGCGCCCTGGGGAGTGGCGGGGGGGTGGGGGGGTGGGGGTGGGGGGGCTTGGGCAAGGGAAGGAGCGGGGGGCGGGGTGCGTGGGTGGGGGGTAGGGCAAGAGGGGGGGCATGCACTGGGGCCGGTCGAGCTTTGGATGGGGTGGAGTAGGTGGAGGGGGGAGTGAGGGTTGGTGTTGGATTAGGAGTTATTCGGAGGCACAGGGAAGCGGAGCGATGAGAGCGGTGAGAGCGGGGAGAGCGGTCAGGGCGGGCGTGCATTGGAACCCCTAAAACACGAGAGATTGGTCAGGAGCGGCGTAGGGGGTGGGGCTAGGCCTACAAGCGGAGGACAGGGGAGTGGGGGGGAGGTGGGGGCCGGGTGGGGGTGGGGGGGGGCTGGGTGGGGGACGCCAAGTTGGAACAAGCAGGAGGAAGGGGGGGGGGCCGAGTAGGCGGCAGGGGGAGGGGGGGTTAGGGGTGAGAGCGGTGAGAGCGGGGGGGCGGCGGGCTGGATTGGAATCCTTACATGCGGAGTAGGGGCCTACAGGCAGAGTCCAGTGGGGGGGCGGGGTGCGTGGGGGGTGGGGGTGGGGGTTGGAAGTGTGGAAAGGGTGGGGTGTGTGGGGTGGGGGTTGGGGGTGGGGGTGGAGCCATGACGCCAGGAGCAAGGGGCCCAGGACAAGCACGGGCGGCGGGGCAGGGTGCGTGCGGGGTGGGGGTGGGGGTTGCGGGTGGGGGTGGAGCAGTAAGAGCCATCCATGAAAAGCATGGCGGGGTGTGTGGGGGGCTTGGGCAAGGGGAATGTGTGCGGAGCGGGAAGGGCGGATGGGCGGGGAGCGGGTGCGTGGGTGGTGGGGGTAGGGGCGGAGGGGAGCCATGGGGCCAGGAGCCATGGGTCCATGAGGGGCATGGGCGGCGGGGCGGCGGGCATGCACTGGGAGGAGCCATGCGTCCATGAGAAGCATGGCGGGGGGCGTGGGTGGTGGGGTAGGGCAAGAGGGGGGGCATGCACTGGGGGCCGGTCGAGCTTTGGATGGGGTGGAGTAGGTGGTAGGGGTAATGGGTCTTCACTGACGCCGCCCCGCTAGGGGTCGCGGATATATAGACAAATATACACATAATACATATAACAGATAGGTAGATACAGTACATATGCCCGTCCCCCGTTTCTCCCCCCCCCCCCCCCCCCCGCCCCCCCCCCCCCCCCCCCCCCCCCCCCGCCCCGCGCAAGACCACAGCTCTCGCATGACATGAGGCTCGTAGTCATAAATCCCGCAATTCCGCCGCAATCCCGTCCCCTCCAAGGCCAAAATTTGGGTGTGGGATTGTGGGGTTTGTGGAATTGTGAGATCGTGAGACGGGAAGGTGCAAGTTTGAAGATTTGGAATTCTGAAATGTTCAAGTTCAGGTCTTGGCGAGACCGGTTCTAAAAAATTAACCATTAAGCAACTCCATCCTGGAATCGGCGCCGGTTCTACTTCTTAACATTCAAACAAGCCTGCAGATTAGAGTAAATTTGGATCGTAGAATTAGGGTCATTTCAATGGCTCAAGTTGCGAGATCTCAGATAATCTAAATCATCAAATTGTTTCCCGCTTTTAGATGACTTCAATAAATATCAACAACCAACTCAAACAGGTTAACGAAAAAGAGCTCGGATTGTTGTTTTTGTGATATCTAAAGGCCTTGCGGCACGGGCCGGCCTGGCCGTCTGAAAGCTGAAACTCGGGAAAGAAGAAGAAGAAAAAGAGGAATAACAAGAAAATAGAAAAAAGAAGAAAAAAACACGAAGAAAAGAACGATAAAAAAGATGAAGAAGAAAAGAAAGAAGACGAAACATAAGAATAAGCAGAAAAGAAATAAGAAGAAACAGAAGAAGACAATAAAAGAAAGAATAATCGCAAGAAGAAAGGGAAAAGGAAGAAAAAGAAGAATACGAAGATAAAGAAGAAGAAGAAAAATAAAACGAAGAATAATAAGAAGAAAAGACAGAAGAAAAAGAATAATAATAAAAGAAAGAAGAAACAAAATAATAAGAAGAAAATAAAGAAGAAGAATCAGAAGAATAATAATAGAAAGAAGAAGAAAAAGAATAATAATAAAAGAAATAAGAAGAAAAGGAAAGAATAAGAAAAATAATAATAATAAATAAGAAAAAGAAGAAGGCAATGAACAAAAAGAAAAAAAACAAAAACTATAATAAAAATATAAAGAAGAAGAAAAGAAAGAAGAAAAATAGAAAAAACAAAAAATATTAAAAGAAAGAGGAAGAAAATAAAGAGGAAGAAGAAGAAGAAAAGAAATAAGAAAAGAAAGATGAAGAAAAAAAAGGAAGCAGAAGAGAAGAAAGAACAGGAAGCGACAGCCGAAACCCTATATATGGTTCGGCGTCGGGCGTCCTGCGCCCCCCCCCCCCCCCCCCCCCATGGTATCCCCCCCCCCCCCCCCCCCCCATTTTATCCCCCTTCCCCCCCCCCCCCCACCATGGCACCCCAAGACCCTTGACCCTAGCCGAAAAGTCTTAAACCCTAAAGCCTAAAACCCTACAGCCTAAACCGTCAACCCTTAATCAGAAAGCCTAAAGCCAAACCCTAAACCCAAACCCGCAAACACAAGCCTAAACCCAAACCCCCAACCACACCGCAGGGGGGGGGGGGGGGGCTAAAGCCCTCAACCCTAAAGTCTTAAACCCTAAAGCCTAAAACCCTACAGCCTAAACCGTCAACCTTTAATAAGAAAGCCTAAACCCAATCCCTAAACCCGAACCCTAAACCCAAACCCCCAACCACACCACAGGGGGGGGGGGAGCTAAAGCCCTCAACCCTAAAGTCTTAAACCCTAAAGCCTAAAACCCTACAACCTAAACCGTCAACCTTTAATAAGAAAGCCTAAACCCAAACCCTAAATCCAAACCCCCAACCACACCACAGGGGGGGGGGGAGCTAAAGCCCTCAACCCTAAAGTCTTAAACCCTAAAGCCTAAAACCCTACAGCCTAAACCGTCAACCTTTAATAAGAAAGCCTAAACCCAATCCCTAAACCCGAACCCTAAACCCAAACCCCCAACCACACCACAGGGGGGGGGGGAGCTAAAGCCCTCAACCCTAAAGTCTTAAACCCTAAAGCCTAAAACCCTACAACCTAAACCGTCAACCTTTAATAAGAAAGCCTAAACCCAAACCCTAAATCCAAACCCCCAACCACACCACAGGGGGGGGGGGAGCTAAAGCCCTCAACCCTAAAGTCTTAAACCCTAAAGCCTAAAACCCTACAGCCTAAACCGTCAACCCTTAATAAGAAAGCCTAAACCCAAACCCTAAACCCAAACCCCCAACCACACCACAGGGGGGGGGAGGGGGGGGGGGGCAAAGTCGAAGGCATGTACAAGCAAAACTATAGTAGTATAGTACCATAGTATAGACCATTTGGGGGGGGGGGGGGTGTGGGTAGGGTGGGCGTGGGGGGGGCCCGCCGGGGCTGAACCATATATAATCCTCTGCGTGCGTGCGCGCGCGCGCGCGCAACAGCATCATTGGCATCAGCGGCTTGGGGGTGGGGGCCGAAAGTCGCGAAACACACGTCCAAACCAAGGTTTTCCCGAGAAAACACTTTTTTTCTCCGAGGTTGGGCGCCTTTTTCTGTTCCCGCAGCCATAACGATGAGTTTTTGAACAATTTTTCGCGCAACACGCAAAAAACACGGTATTTACTACGTTTTCGGCCGCTCGGACCCCCCCCCTCCCTACCGAGCATCATGAGCATCAGCGAGGCCCTCTTGAGCATCAGCGAGGCCCCGGAGCCGGGACCCGAGGACCCTGGAGAAATGCAGGGCTCATGATGCTCACCCGTGGGTGCGCACCGTGAGCGTCGGCTGACCCCCCCGAAACCGTGGGTGTCAATGATGCTCACCGTGGAGACGCGGCAGTGCCCCGAAAGGAGGTGTGTGTCGAAGCACGCGAAAAACACGGTATTTACGATGTTTTCTGGCTTTGTTGAGGCGCCCGGGCCCTCCTGTGGCCCCGGAGGCGGGTCGCTGATGCTCATGATGCTCGCGCCTATTGAGGCGTCGGTACCCCCCCCCCAAAAAAAAAAAAACTTGAGGTATATGGTCTTTTTCGCACGTTCGCCCAATGTTAAAAAG